AATAGCTTAATTATATCAAAATATAATGATGTCAATTATGATTAGTTTTGAGTTAGTCAGATTGGAGAAAGAGGCTTCAAAGACGTCAAGGTGGCGATTTTATGCAGTGACAACGTTAACTTTTCAAGATTTGAGCCATGTTCTGGATTCAATATGACCGACGCATGAATAAGGTCTATTTGTTAAATAAATCATTCTAATATTTCTATTTTTTAACCTGGATTTCTCTCATTCTCTGTTATCCAAAGATTATTTGTACTTGAGTGATGCAATTTTTCCAAATATAAACCAAGGGATTAAATTGCATTTATCGTACATTGCACATGACTAACTTGAACTTTCTGAAGGCAAATTTAACACTTCGTGACTAACTGAGAGTATGTATGACACATTGTGACTTTAGCTGAAGAATAAATAACACATTTTGACTAACTAAAGGGATATATAACACATTTTGACTAACTGAAGGGATATATAACACATTGTGACTTGAACTAAAGGGATACATGGCATAACACTTTGTAATTTTCTGAAGGGAATTACAACTCTTATGACTTTAGCTGAAAGATATATAACACATTGTGACTTTCTGAAGGGATATGTAACACATTGTGACTTTCTGAAGGGATATATAACACATTGTGACTTTCTGAAGGGATATAAAATACATTGTGACTTTCTGAAGGGATATAAAATACATTGTGACTTTCTGAAGGGATATAAAATACATTGTGACTTTCTGGAGGGATATAAAATACATTGTGACTTTCTGAAGGGATATAAAATACATTGTGACTTTCTGAAGGGATATAAAATACATTGTGACTTTCTGAAGGGATATATAACACATTGTGACTTTCTGAAGGGATATAAAATACATTGTTCTGAAGGGATATAAAATACATTGTTCTGAAGGGATATAAAATACATTGTGAATTTCTGAAGGGATATAAAATACATTGTGAATTTCTGAAGGGATATAAAATACATTGTGAATTTCTGAAGGGATATAAAATACATTGTGAATTTCTGAAGGGATATAAAATACATTGTGAATTTCTGAAGGGATATAAAATACATTGTGAATTTCTGAAGGGATATAAAATACATTGTGAATTTCTGAAGGGATATAAAATACATTGTGAATTTCTGAAGGGATATAAAATACATTGTTCTGAAGGGATATAAAATACATTGTTCTGAAGGGATATAAAATACATTGTGAATTTCTGAAGGGATATAAAATACATTGTGACTTTCTAAAAGGATGTTTAACAAATTGTGACTTTTTGAAGGGATAAACACACTGATATTTCTGAACAGATTTATAACAAACTGTCATTAAGAGGAGATAGTAGGACACATCGCTGGGTTAGAGCAAAAACCTCGTAAGTGACAAAATTCAATATTTGGGGCGTAGTCAATTTTTAAGGTTGAAATAATATTTCTTATCACCCTATTATCACAAAAGAGTGTTTTTTTTAGTAAAACACCAAAATTTATAACTATGGAATTCATTGTATCTGCATTTTTCTTTAAATGCTTAGAGCATAAACATCGTATCTGATTTGTTTGGAGCAAAATCATAGTAACTGACATGTTGAGAGCAAAAACATTGTAAGTGATATCATTAATCTATAGAATAGTGACATGACAAAGTCATAACACTATGATGTCATATAGAATATAACATCATATGCATGTTGTCATGGTAATTT